ACAAGACCCTTTCATCGTGTCCGGCGCGAAAGTCTCCGAAGGTGTGGGGACATTCATTGTCACATCCGTTGGAGTCAATTCAACATACGGGAAAACGATGATGTCTCTCCAGGATGAGGGCCAGACGACTCCGCTGCAGTCGAAGCTGAACGTCCTCGCTGAATATATTGCCAAACTCGGTCTTGCCGCCGGACTATTGTTGTTTGTTGTGCTGTTTATCAAATTCCTTGCACAGCTGAAAACCATTGACGGTGCCGATGAGAAAGGTCAAGCGTTCCTTAGAATTTTCATTGTTGCTGTGACAGTCATTGTGGTTGCTGTTCCCGAAGGCTTGCCTCTGGCTGTCACACTAGCACTCGCCTTCGCCACAACACGCATGCTCAAGGACAACAACCTGGTCCGGCTGCTCCGGGCTTGTGAGACCATGGGGAACGCGACAACGATTTGTTCCGACAAGACTGGCACCTTGACGGAAAACAAAATGACTGCTGTTGCTGCCACCATGGGAACGACTTTCAGATTTGTCAAGGATGCCGGTGCTTCTTCCAATGGAACGGATGAGAATGGCGACGCACACGAAGTTTCAAATGCGCTGTCACCATCCGAGTTTGCCAAAAGTCTTCCTGCTCCAGTCAAGCAGCTTTTACTCGACTCAATCGTGCTGAACTCCACAGCATTTGAAGGGGAACAGGAGGGGGTTATGACGTTTATTGGTTCAAAGACCGAGACAGCGCTTCTAGGTTTCGCAAGAACTTATCTCGCTCTCGGTTCGCTTAGTGAGGCACGGGCTAACGCAGAAATCGCTCAGATGGTGCCATTTGATTCCGGTCGGAAGTGTATGGCTGTGGTTATCAAAATGGGACCTGGAAAGTACAGGATGTTGGTCAAAGGTGCAGCGGAGATTCTGGCTGCGAAATCTACGCGTATCATTTCCGATCCAACAAAAGATTTGTCCAATCACCCGATTTCTGATGACGATAAGAAAACTTTGAATGCGACGATAGATCGGTATGCAGCTAAGTCCTTGAGAGCTATCAGCTTAGTGTACCGCGATTTCAGTCAATGGCCGCCCGAAGGGGTACGCAAGCAGGAAAAAGATGGAAATCTCGCGGATTTTGACGTCGTATTCAAGGATATGACCATGTTCGCTGTTTTCGGCATCCAGGATCCCCTCCGAGCTGGGGTAACAGAATCCGTTCAACAATGCCAGAAAGCTGGTGTTTTTGTCCGAATGGTGACCGGAGATAATATTAATACGGCCAAGGCTATTGCTGGAGAGTGCGGTATCTTTACGCCTGGAGGAATTGCAATTGAAGGACCCAAATTTCGCCAGCTTAGCTCCTCTCAGATCCACCAGATTATCCCTCGACTGCAGGTCCTGGCAAGATCTAGCCCTGATGATAAGAAAATCCTGGTTACTCATCTGAAGAAGCTAGGTGAGACGGTTGCGGTTACCGGTGACGGAACAAATGATGCCCAGGCTCTTAAGACAGCAGATGTTGGATTTTCTATGGGAATTGCTGGCACCGAAGTGGCAAAGGAGGCGTCAGATATCATCCTGATGGACGATAATTTCACCTCAATCATCAAGGCTATGGCCTGGGGTAGGACTGTGAACGACGCGGTTAAGAAGTTTCTGCAGTTCCAAATTACAGTCAATATCACTGCGGTTCTCCTAACATTCATCTCAGCAGTGGCTAGTGACACCGAAGAATCGGTTCTTACGGCGGTACAACTTCTATGGGTCAATCTTATTATGGACACTTTCGCAGCGCTTGCTCTAGCCACTGATCCCCCATCTGCACATGTTCTGGACCGCAGACCCGAGCCCAAATCCGCTCCACTCATCACCCTCACAATGTGGAAAATGATTATCGGTCAAAGTATTTATCAAATGGCCGTCACGCTTGTCTTGAACTTTGCAGGAGGCCACTTTGGCTACGAAGGCGATGTACTCTCTACGGTTGTATTCAATGCCTTTGTTTGGATGCAGATATTCAACCAGTGGAACTCTCGCCGCCTGGACAATGGTTTCAATATTTTTGAAGGCATGCTCCGCAATTGGTGGTTCATTGGAATTCAGTTCATCATCATGGGTGGACAGGTCTTGATCATTTTCGTTGGTGGCCATGCCTTCTCTGTCACCAGAATAAATGGTGCGCAATGGGGAGTCTGTTTGATTATTGGCGTGATCTCTCTTCCAATTGCAGTCATCATTCGGCTGATCCCAGATGCATTCATTGAGAAACTCATCCCGACCTTCTTCAACCGCAAAAAGGCCCCCGAGCTTTTCGTTTCTGACGAGGATCGCTTCGAGTGGAACCCTGCTCTGACTGAGATTCGGGATCAGCTCAAATTTCTCAAGAGGGTCCGTGGAGGTCGATTGAGACACCTGAAGCACAAATTGCAGCACCCTGAAGAGTTCCTTCCAAGATCACGAAGCGGCTCAAGGTCATCACGGTCAAGAGAGAACTCGGTCCCTGGAACACCCGTCAATGAACCCAGCAGTACTCCATCTCAGCCCCCTACTCCGGAATCACGGTCAAGAAGACGAGCTCGGTCTCGCTCGAACTCGGCATTTGGACCTGCTACAGCCATGGCGGGTATAGTTGCTGGAAGTATTGCAGGCTGGTCGCCTATTGAAAGAGCGCCAGCGGACGGAGAGCAACTCAAGTTCGATTTCACTCCACATGGGGGCTTGGAAAACCAACAAGGCATTGAAATCCACCCCAAGACAGCAGCAGACGATCGGATCGTGGGCGACTATCTTTCATCATCAAAGACGCCCCCAAGCCAGAATCCAGACCTCCTACCTTACTTTGAGCACGCTCCTCCTGCACGGGCTCCGTCTAGCCGCAGCATAAGGTCAACATCTGTTCACAGTCGGTCCGCTCACAGCCGGTCCGCATCTCGCAACGAAAGTTGACCGGATACCCGGTTAAATCCCTAATAATACCTCTGATACGTTAACGGTCTTTATTATTAAGACTACACACTTCACAACGATGTATTATGATCCTGTCGTTGATTTGCTTCTTGATATGTTGATTTGTTTTTTAGTTCTGGGTCGGCCGTTCTCCCACGATAAAGCAACCTTTTAGTGCATTCTTTCACCCTTTCTGCTTTTTCCTGTGCTCATAGATTCCCAGTTTTCTTTCCTCGGGTTCCGGCTATCTGTCATTTGCTGGATTGCATGATTTTAGTCTAGCGATCCGTCGGGCGTGTAACGGTTGAAAAGGTCTCGTTTTGTTTCCCATATAGACACTCATTCCAGTGTATGTTCGGTCTCGGCGCAAGTGGTGACGGCCTGTGTAATTTGTTTTCTCTTGCCTACTTTGTACATATTGATCCTTACTCCCCCCTTTGTTGGGTGTTAGAGATGGTTTAATCATTGTTAAAATCTTGGGTTTCAATTTCTACTTAATATCTTTTTCTACGGGTTGGCTTCGTTTTCTTTGATGGGGTTTGGTCTTTGGTATAGGAGGTTCTTGATTCACTGCCGGGACTTATATTATTATAGCCGGTGAAATGTGGATCTGTTGGTATGGTTTATCTTTCGTCTGTAGTTCTGGTCCAAGTTTTGTAGGATTAGGTGTATTCATTCATAATTAAGATGTTTATTCTTAATGGGATATCCCTGGCGGTTCAATTGTCTAGCATGTCAAATTGATTCAAGGTATAAGTATGAAAGACTTAATTCTTAATTCCCGAATGATATGGCTGTATAAAGAGCTAAAATATCAACAATACTGTTTCGTTGATTTCAACGAGACGTTGCTAGTTCCCTATTTGGGAAATTAGATTATCAAGGGATATGTTTCTCTTGTTTTCTAATCTTTTTTCTTCACTCCTGTTTTGTGCCATCTTGTTTAACGTGTTTTGGGTAGGGGATTCATTTTATATGCAACATGCCCGGGTATTTTGCTTACTTTGTGCGTTCGAGTGAGTTCCTTTTGGGTGGGTGTTGGATAGATTTACTTAGATAGATGGTTATGGGGGTTTTGAGGGAAGAAACTAGAGAGCTGTACGCGCGATAGAGAATAAGGGCCGCGTCTTCTCTGAATGTGGTTCGGGAATCGATGGTACTGTCTCACTAGGCTCATTTGTTATGCACGACATGACTCCAGATCGAACTGCGGTTCTTTTTAGTGATCCCGATACATACTGGCTGGAACAAAGGAAACCTGACGCACGTACTAGCAGTATTATGCAATGTTCCACTGGTGTGGTAGTCATAATTAGGTCATGTGTGATCTGCAAGAGCGCGTTATTTCAGGTTTAGTAAAAGGAACCACTTGCTCGGAAACTTGAGAGACAGAAAAGTCCCTGAACGAGGGGTTTCGAAATGTGATCGTTATTCTTGGATTGACCAGATGTTTGAAAGGTAGGCAGCACGGTGGCGAGCTGAAAGGCTCATGGGGCCTGTTGAGGGGCTTGCGTTGACAAAACAAATTGCCTCGACTCAGTTTCGAGGGATGATCATAGCATCATATTCATACTTGTCAAACTTTCTTCCAAGTGGGCTAGTATGAGCTCCGGGGATTTTTCTGAACTGCTCGGATCCTCGGACCTTGAGCTACGTTGCACACTGTCTCTCCTTGCTTGGCTGGTGCATACCAGACGACCGTGTTGGAGAGCTTAATACCAATATGAGTAATGGAATGTAATGGGCATGGAGATGTGACAAATCACGGATCCCGGACGATCTGCACCATATTAGCTTGAATGTAATAGAGGCGATTCGGGTGTTTGAGCCAAAAAGTTGACTAGAGGGCCAAAGAGGTGATGGGAATTTTGATAAACCCGAAAATACCGAGCCCTTGTTTAGCGCTAGGTTCCCTTCTTTCTCTTCCCATGGATGGGGTTGAACTTATTTTCCATGATGACCTGCATCATGAACGCCTGTCTGATGAATTTAGGGGACAGGGTCGTGCGGTCAAAGTGCAGGGTCCTGGTACCGTGTACACACCAGCTGTGGAATGCTAGCATCAAGTAGGGCAGGTGATAGGGTGATGTCAAACTAGTAGCACTGTGTGAGCAGCAAACTCCTTCCCTGAGTCTCCCCCTTTTCTGCTGCACATCTTTGTGTCCCTATATATACCCTGAAACGTTGTTCGTCTTTTCCTGACTATCTTCTTTCGGCAACTTGTAGCTCGGTCAAGCTTCCACGTTATTGTCTCCGACCAGAAGGAGCAGAGAAGTAGGCAGACCTGGCTCCTTTTGACCAAGTGACGGCCCGTCTTGAAAGCCAGCATGATGCCTGAGGCTGAAAAAACTCGTATATCCCCTTCCGTTCAGAGTGTTGCACAAGAGGAGTTAGAAGATCAGGCTCCCCTTAATGCAAGTCACAGATCGAGGTACCAAAGATGGGCGGGCAGCATCAAGGGCCTCGAGGCGCGTGGGATTGAGCCAATACCGCTTGAGGAACGCCTGAAGACTAGCCCATCAGCATCACTTCATATGCTGCTTATGTGGTTCAGCATGGGGATGGCCGTGAACAACATGGTGGTTGGGTCATTGGGCACGCTTGTAATGAAGCTGAGCTTCGCAGATGCTGCTCTTTGTGCAATATTTGGGAATCTGTTGGGGGGTATGGCAGTTGGGTATATGAGCACTTGGGGTCCCAGAAGTGGGAATCGCACTCTTGTATGGTTCATCCGTTGCATATAACCTCTGTTCGTCCCTGTCCCTGTTATGAAAGAAAGAGAAGTACATACAGCTCACTTGTTGTCGATAGATAGTCGCCCGATATTTTATGGGGTACTACCCTAGCAAGGTGTGCTGCTCGCTGAATGTGCTTACAAACTTGGGTTATGGGATGATGAATTGTATGATCGGCGGGCAATTACTCTCAAAAATATCAGGTGGAGCCGTATCCGTTGTCGTTGGTATTATTATTGTCGCTCTTGCAAGCTTGGTGATGGCTACATTTGGAATGCAGATCTTCCAATATTATGAGAGGTATGAACCATGCCTTGGTGCCTGCCCCTGTCAGCTTCTCTGGGACTAACTCAGCAATGTGAGCCCTGCAGATATGCTTGGTTCCCGCAGTTATTGGTACTCTGCATCATCACTGGATCGGCAGGACCGCAGTTTGATTTCGAGAGTTCATCGGTTGGATCCTCAGACGAAGTCAATGCCAAACGTCTGGCTTTCTTCTCTCTTTGTTTGTCTGTATCCCTCGCATGGGCGCCGTTAGCTGCAGACTACTATGTCTACTATCCGCCGACTATTAGGCGATGGAAAACATGGTCAATGACCATGATGGGAGGATGCTCAGCGATGATCATCACTCTTCTCCTTGGAGTTGGTCTAGGAAGTGGAGTGGCGAAAAACCTCAAGTGGGCTGAAATTTATGATGGTACACCGGCGAGTCTATTGATGGCTGGTTATGGCAGACTTGGAGGCTTTGGCAAATTCTGCGCGTTCATCAATGTCGTAACGGTGGTCTCCAGTAATGCGCCTGGATCTTATTCAATGGCTATGAATTTCCAGATGCTCGGGAATGTATGGTCGAAAATCCCACGTCCTGTCTTCACTGTTACTACGACAGTGATATACACGGCATGCGCCATTGGTGGACGAGATTTCCTATATGACATTTTCAAGAGCTTTCTTCCACTGATTGGTTATTGGATCATCATCTGGTTTACTATTGTTGTGGAGGAGGACTTGCTCTTTCGACGTAGCCAAGGCTATGACTGGTCCGCGTGGAACTGTCGACAGAAGTTGCCGGTAGGAGTTGCTGCTGCTTTAGCTTTCCTGGTTGGCTGGGCGGGGGCAATTGTAGGGATGGTATAGTATATCCCTGATTCATCTGCTTGAGGCCAGTGCTAACCCATTCCCTTTTTCCTTATAGGATCAAGTGTACTATACGGGGCCGATTGGGCAAGCAGTCATTGGAGGCTGTGACTTAGGAATCTGGCTCGGCTTCGGTTTCACGGCCCTTGCTTTCCCTCCGCTGAGAATGTTGGAGTTGAGAGTAATTGGACGCTGAAAGAATATTGCTTCCATGAGATGCCATCCATATGCGTTCATGGTGACCTATCTGTCTGAGATTGGAGTCACCGGTTATACATGTGGTGTTTTGCTTCAGAGACCTTGGATAGCCACTTTGCATGGGATGGCTCGAATGGCTTTAAGAAGTAAGACCGCCAATCAATAAACTCTGTACGTACGTACGCATGACTGGTCATGCTCGCACACAGTGTACCATAGACTAAACTGAAGCTGCATGTTAGAAGCTTGTCTTTTCGCCTTGGCAATAGACAGAGTTTTGCAAGGCATGGAGTATTTGCTTTTTATAGAATCAGGATGTGGATAGAAACGATATGTTCCAATTGCATTGCTTATAAGAAGGAACTATGTGTTACTTCGTATCACCCCCTAGTATATCTCTGTCTCTTTGTCTCTTGACACATGAGTTGAGAGGGACGTTTTCTTGTGGACTCGACTATTTTGGTAAAAAGACCATATGAACTTTCACGCAGTGAAGAGTGACGCATAGACCTTTCGACGTACGTGAAGCTGTGGTGATTCAATTTCATCAGAAAGAGATGAAGGTATGTGATGTAAGTTAGAAGTAGAAGCTTGGACCGTAAGCAACCAGAAAGAGAAAGTGGCGAGCGAAGATCAAACTAGTCTAAATGTGGATAGTTGAATCAGGTGCCCAGCTTAGAGCACAAGATATCAGCAGAGAGTTTATTGCTATTATATACGTTGTCTTAGAGCAATAAATGCAAGCTGTTTGATAGGGTTGGCGAATTTGACCATAATTTTCTGTTATGGAGCCTTCTTCCTGAATGCAGCGACCTACGTAAATGCTTCCCCTCTCTTATGTTCATACCCGAGGTCCTTCGATACTCGGCAGGAATATTTAGGTTGTGGGGAAACGACCGTCAAAGCTGTTGTTAGTGAAGAATGGCCATTAAATCAAATTTATAACTAGTCCTCGGAGTAGGACCTCGGCTTGAAACACTAATAATACAATAAATGTAAGATGGAACCAATAGTAGGCAGTCTATTACTCTTTATATTGGACCCCGTACTTTATTCATGCATAGTATGAAAGGGCTATGGAGAAGTAATTATGCACGGGTTCTGTTTTGTCAAGCTAAACTCTTGGCGGGCTGAACACGAGTTAATCCTAAAGATCCTGTGATCGTTCTTTGCTACTCCGCATCCCTCGCCCAGGAGATTATATTTAACTAGGTCTAATACTCACCATCTTAACCGGGTTGTTGTGGCTTGAGGCTTATGATTTCCGGTGTGCATGGTTAATTTCCCCCGGTCAGACAGTTGAGTTAAATACAGACTCCACAGCATACTCACGTTTGTTGACATCTGGCGAAGCGATGGGGAATGAGAGCCAAGCCGTCACAGCTGGCATCAACAATTCAGTCCCGCAAGCAATTCTAGACATTGCACCTCGCCAGCTTCTTCCATATGCCCTCGCGATTCTAATAGCATATCCATTACTGGTCTCCTTGCTCCGCTTTCGCCGGGTACAATGGCTACACCAAAAGTACAAGTACCCCAACCGGGCATCCCTTGCTAAAATGACCGACGACGAGGCCTGGGAAATCCAGAAAGTGCTTTTGCAGCTGGAATTTCCATTTATCTATATTAAAGCTCTCCAATTTGCTCTCTTCAGGGTTCGGCTCCTTTTCCCACCTGATTGGTTTCTTATACTTTTTTGTGGACTGTCTGGTAACCTAAATTGACCCAGCGAAGACCTACGGAATCCCCACCATCTCCGGGCTGCTCACCAAGACTAGCCAATTCTCTAATCCGGAGACATCTTACAAGCGTTACGCAGACACAAGCGCCTTGGTTCAGGAATTTATGGGCAACGCCCCATCTTCTAAACGTACTATCACTGCGATCGCTCGAACCCGCTGGCTCCACAATGGCTATCGCACCTCGGGAAAAATATCCGAGGATGATATGCTCTACACGCTTAGCTTGTTTGCCCTCGTACCCATGCGGTTCATCGAAAAGTTTGAGTGGCGAAATCTGACCGACCTCGAGAAGTGTGCTATCGGCACATTCTGGAAGAGCGTCGGTGATGGTCTCGCAATCGGTTACGAGGCCTTTCCGTCGCATAAGACGGGATTCCGCGATGGCCTCCAGTGGCTAGAGGAGATGACCGCCTGGAGTGAAGCGTACGAAGCTAAACACATGGTTCCCCATGCCACGAACCGGGAGACCGCGGATCAGACTACGGCCGTGCTACTGTACATGGTCCCGAAGCCGTTCCAGCAGATCGGACTGCACTTCGTTTCATTCATGATGGATGACCGCCTACGACGCGCGATGTTGTAAGTACAACCCGAAGACAGTAGCTCGTGTAACGATTAACCTGGGCCTAGGTATGACCCTCCCCCGGCATCATATGCTAAACTGTTCTCGTCGCTCCTGTCCGTTCGCCGCTTTGTGTTGCGTTACCTGTCGCTCCCCCGACCTTATTTCCTCCGTTTCACTGCCTTCACCGAGCAACCGGACCAGAATGATCGCATTTTCATCACCCAGTGGGATGCGGCGCCCTATTACGTCGCGCCTACTTTCCGGAACCGCTGGGGCCCTGTCGCTTGGCTTACCTGGGCTATGGGTCGGCCTCTTCCAGGCGACGAAGGTGATAAGTATTACCCCCGGGGCTACTATACACCTGATGTAGGACCCAAGTACTTCGAAGGCAAGGGTCGAACATCCCTGGAGGAGTACGCCCAGGGCTTGAAAGGTACACGAACCGGTCAATGTCCCTTTTTTTAAGTATGGGCATGGACAAGATGCGCTACTATTACGAGAAAAACCGTTCTATGTCGTGTTATTTGCAAAGCTAGATATACTCTAGTATGATATGGCGGGGCTAGTGAGAGAAAGGGGATAATTTCATCTTACGAGAAAATCTACGCTAAATTCATTGTCGTGCATTTTGAGCGATATGACTAAAGGTACTTAACGGGCTTACTTTACTATATTCCAAAAGCACTTTAAGATTCCATAATATCGAGATATAGGATCCTTAATTGTCATATTTTCAAGCCAAAAGAACTGTTGAGTCGCGCATTGACCCTTAAGCCCGACCTTGTTCTTTCCCGAGACCAAACTTGTCTCCCTAATTTGCATTTACCAATACACTGGAGGGCACAACAATACAAGCATTCTTAGTAAAGCGATAATAAACCCAAAGGAAACATCATTTGAAGTCTTTCCTCCACAAATCACATATTGTCCCTCAAATAGGCCTCCAGCCATAGAACGTATTTCTTTCTTCCACGGGCAATTCCGCGGTCCCGTCTTCAAAGTGCGTCCGTATCTACGAGTACCTCGTCATTGTATTCATCCAAGGTTTGCAGGCAAAGATAGAGTCCTTCAACCAGCGATCCTGGACGGTGTCCGGAGTTCCTGGTCCCAAGGATCCTCACCCGGTACGATATACTGTTTTGGCTGCCCTTCCGCTTTAACTAGGGGTAGCATTTGATTGACTGGTTGGAAATGGGCTCCCGCAGGTTAACCCAGCCATAATAAATGAGGCAATGGGGACAGAGCTGAGGGATCGAGGGGTAGTGCTTCTGAAATTGAACCGGGCCAGGTTAAGGTGGTACCTAGGTTGGCGCAGACGTTGGTGAGACGGATATCTCTGGAGAGATGCCGATGGGGATGTTAAGAGTAAGCAGTTCTTGGTGATGAATATCATACTAGAGCAGCCCCATGTACTGTTCGTGTAAAGAATGGCCGAGGGGCAACCGTCCAAGGAAGTTTCAATGGAGCGGTTTGGCACATAGTTACTCGTGGAATCTGTTTGACATATACTAAATGAACAGTTTGACAGGCTGTCGGCGCTCGTGATCCCGGAGACCACCCACGATGGATGCGTTCACAAGTAGACACTTAGCTTCGGTGGTAGGACGAAAGAAATTCATCACAAACTCTTTCATCGTATAGATAACATTCCATATACCGCCTCCAGCGACAACAGTGCGTTCATACGCACTTTGCAGCGCATCGAACTGCAGCCACTCGGTTCCAGCGCCTTCATGTACATGTCCAAAGACATGCAAGCGGGGACGAACACGCCAGAGCGTGCGCAATAAATATGTACAGCCGAGATTGAGCAAGTCGAGATGGGCGCGTGGTGGGGTGTGTGTTATGAGTATGTCGATGTTAGCTGGTACCCTGCCGCCCCAGAAGTCCTCAGAACGAGGATACTGAAAGGTCCAGTTACCGTGACGTGGTGAGTAGGGGCTGCCGTAAATATTTAGATGGCGGCCATTGTTACAGGTGATGGACACTTCTGAGTCTTGGAGATAGACTATATCTCCCCAGTCAGGAGCTTCGTCCTCCGCTTTTAGACGGTTAATATCGGAACCAAGACATAGGTCATGATTTCCAGCGATGACTATCTTCGATGCATGGGGCTGTGTGCGTAGCCAGTCCAGCGTCACTTGTAGTTCTTTCAATGACCCTGATTGAGTCAGGTCCCCCGCGTGGATAAGAATGTCGCCGTCTGGAAGAGAAGGTTGGCGATTATGTGTATCGGAGATGCATACGATTGGCACAGGGTCTTTGACTGGCTGGGCAGCGATTGTGTTCTGCCAAGTGTAAAGCTTGCGCGTGAGAAAGACGCATGGCTGTTTCATAAACTGCTGCCAGGCTGATGGGCGTGGTCGGTTGAGAATTTCGCCGAGACTATTACCTTGCTTCCCAAAAAGTGACATCATTAAACTGACCGTAGAATTTTTTTTCCCCATAAGCAGTAAAAATAATGTGGATAGCGTATTGGCATAAATTCTGGCTGGTATTCTAGATATTACGCAAAGTGCTATTGTCTGTTGGTTGGTTGTTGCATAAATCTTACATGCTGCCGCTTTTACGAAATCTGCACACAACAATGTAAGGCATATACATTTGCTCTCCCATTCACAGTTCTGAATAGATACTTATGAAGAAATTATGAAGAGTTTGGTTCATCGACTGTGCACAATTTGTAGTTTATATCAAGTTGCGCTCCACGTAGATACCAACATGCTTTCCAGGGGTATGACGGGGCTAGGGCATGAAGTAGTAATACACCCCTGACATAAAACCTCATGGCTAATTGGTTATATCTTATAGTAAATCACCCTTTGTCAGGGAACTTGGACCCATGAATTAAGCTATCCCTGGATTAAATGGCATAACGGCAAGTGTGAGTCCTAGCTCTTAAGTAGCTGTGTTCATACTCTCTGCACGCAAATGCTCTACCCACTATCAACATGCCAACGCAAGAACTTTGCAATATTCCCCTGTCGAGAAAGAAACCGCGGATGGGACTCAAGACCCAGAAAGATTTCGCATCCTCAATCTTCTTTGAGAATGCTGGTCTCTGTTGTCCGAACACATTGTCCAGTTTCGGATGTTTGGCAATAAACAGACCCCTTACATTTTACGAAAGTACCGCACTTCAAACATGAGAATGCTTTTAGTCGGCTGATAGAGTCGAATATTAGGTGTTTCACCCCATTGTCCTACCAAACTCCTACCCTTGTGTATCAAAGAACGGGAAGCCATGCTTTCCTATGGTCATGACTGGTTTCAGGGGTCATACTCGCAGTGCAATCAGAAAGCATGGGTTGGCAGCAGATTTCAGTGTATAGAACAGAATAATGCATCACGCCGGTCTGGAATTGCCCTCAAGCTCATCAGTAGCCACGCTACTCCGTGATTGTACGACTGTGTTGCCTTAATCAGTTTTGAGGAGCCCTCCTAATTGTGGGACAGCCTGGACCTGAGTCTTGATATTGTTTCTATTGCGATATTTCTGTAGGTATATGAATGTAAATACAGTATGTTTCAGAAAATAGTTTTCTATTCTGCGACCGCAGTTGGCATGGCTCAATATACCAACATGATGCAGGACGCTCCAATACCCTCCACTGCAGAATCTCGACGCCCTAGCGTTGCATCAAATACAACAACCGCTCCTTTTTGCTGAGGGACCTCCACAGCATAGGTACTAACGGCGGGTACCATCATCTCATTCTCGCTCTCGACATGCGAGCCCTCATAGAACCGGGGAAAGCCAGCCCCCGGTTCAATTACGATCAGGACGTTGTAAGTGCCTTTCTCGACTCGGGGCTTGTAAATCGACGTTCCCTTCGGGCGATCATGATATTGAACGAACCATCGGTTCAAGCACGGCCTGTCTTCTAGAATTGCGATGGACGGCTTGATTACCTGAAACAGGAGTTAGATCTAGCTGCTGGCAGTGCCCTACACTCTCTTACAATGTCAAAATAGAACATCACAGCATCGCATTCGGCGTTCCAGTGTAACTGAATCTGTCGGCTCCGTTGTTGTATAGTATCCCGTTTCTTCTCCAACTCCTGCTGAACATCCGAAACGAGTTTTTCACCGATGTGCCCCGCAACGACAATGCCTGATACCTCAAGGTCTTTATCTAAATCAAAGTTCTCGGACATATTGGTTGATGGTTAACGTTGATGGTTGTTCGAATCAAGGTGGGGTTAGGTAGGAAGTGGCACTGCACCATGATGCAAGGGGGGTTGCCCAGTCAGTGCGCGAGTATATGTACAACCGGGTGAATCAATAATAAAGGTCCAAAATATGAGAGCAGAGGGTAAGAAGTTCTCTACGTGTAATTCATTTTCTATGCTATCCTTGGTACATTCGTGTTCAAGGAGTTAGTAGTAGCTACTGTAGGGCTATGGGTCGGATCTTTTCCAATTTACACGCTGTATGCATGCAACTGAAAGCGGTACTATGTACGTGGCCTAGGCCTACTTAAGTGAAGTGCTTACTCCTAGGTCGTTGTGAGAATGTTCGGGCACCGATCATAGCTTCTATTTAAGTCACACCTATACCCCGCATATGATGGCGCTTGGTTCTTTGTATGCGGTCTAGAAACTGAGTCGAAGTCACCGTACTACTGAGCTGTACGTGTACTTACAAGGCAGTCCTTCACGTGATAATCATCTCGGTATGTGACTTAAGCCCGTTGCGATAGGCTGTCCTGTCATTAAAGGATGCCCGCAGCTTTACCAAGTTTCATCTGGGTTCTAAACAATGACAAGCAGATTACGTTGGGGTTAACAAGGATTAAATTGTTGCCAATCAAGGTAGGCGGCCTAAGGCAACTTTTTGGTAATCATATTAGTAAGCAATAAACTGTAATACTAGCCAATGGGAGAGCATGACAGCAGCTCATGCCGGTAGGTATGGTATTAATCGTCACTCTCCAAGCTTACTGTGTAGTAGCAATCCCGCGTGCCAAAGTTCCCCCCCCCCACCGGCAACCCCGAACCTCGATCTACTACCTGTCTTCCATGATCATTTGATTATCCATATAGACCCTTTGTTCCTTTACTTTTCAGCGTTCCAGTAATCCCGCACCCGTCTTCGCCGCTATGGCATCCCCCAGTCCCGAGGGTGCCTTGAGCAACTTCCCTCAGGACCCTTCCGAATTCGACAGCGACCCGCGCATTTCCTTCTCGAAACTAGACGACAAATTCATTTTGGAAACAGAAGATGGCCAGGAATTTGAATACGATACGGCTCTGAAGCGATGGATTCCGACGGTGTGTGCGCGCTTTCTCTCCAGCTGGTGATTCCTGTTGTGTTTTTCCGGCTGTTGAAATCCTGCTCTGCTGTTGTTTTCTATTGCGACTGCGCGTGAAAGCGCCCAAGAACCTTCTTCCGTTGCAAATATGCTGGGATGGCTATGACTGCAGGGACTTTGCATGGTTCGTGAAACTGATCTTGTGGTGGGCGCCGCTTTTGCGCGCCCGTGGGTATTCTCCAGGTAGATGAACAACTGCTCCGACAACAACAAGAAGCCTATAAAGTTGAGGGCGTAGATGACAGTGACGAAGTCACGGCATCGCAACTCAAGAAGAAACGCAAGCAGCAAGCGACAAAAGATGAGGTAAGTGGGGGTATTCATCTTTAGTTGTGTCATGTCGCAAGCCCGTGGGACTAACATTGGTGGGTTCTATGTAGGGGAATGGCCAAAAATCGAAGAAACCGCGTGTTAACACAGCGGTCTATGTCACGTCCATTCCTCTTGACGCTGACTTCGAAGAAATCAGATATATCTTTTCTAAGTGTGGCGTCATCGCCGAGGAAATTGACAGCGGCCGCCCACGGATTAAGATGTACATGGACGACGATGGAAAATTCAAGGGTGAAGCTCTCGTCGTGTTCTTTCGCCCCGAATCTGTCAACCTTGCAATCCAGATGTTGGATGACTCGGATTTCAGATTAGGTGTAACTGGGCCGCAGGGGCCTATGCGGGTTCAACCTGCAGATTTCTCTTACAAAAGCCAACAAGAGGCACCGGCCAAGACCAGCGCGAAGGATAAGAGAAAGATCATTCAAAGAACCCAGAGATTAAATAAGTATGAGACCTACAAGTATGAATGGTGGTTTGGTAGGGGAGACTTGCTAATGTGGTGGAGCAGCAAACTTGCCGATTGGGATGATGACGAACCATCTGCTTTACCAGAGACCAACTCTAAGTTTGAAAAGGTAGTCATCTTGAAGCATATGTTCACTCTGAAAGAACTCGATGTATGGGCCTTTTTTACCTTTCTCTCTATTCTTTTCGTATCCTGCTGGCATCGACTGACAATGTCATTAGGATGATCCAGCAGCCATCCTTGACATCAAGGAGGACATCCGTGATGAGTGTTCCAAACTGGGAGAAGTGACGAATGTAGTCCTTTACGATAAGGAAACCGATGGAGTGGTTAGTGTCAAGTTCCAAGACCCAGAAGCTGCAAGAAACTGTGTAAAGGTATGTGCAGATAGACTCAAGTGTCCTTCGGGGACAAGGAAATACTAGTCTGGATAGTGCTAACGATCGTACTTTACAGCTTATGGACGGCCGGTTTTTCGCGGGCACCCGCGTTGAGGCTTACATTTCCGATGGTAGCGAGCGATTTAAGAAGACTAACGAGAAACGAGCGGCTCTTGAGGATTTGGCGGAGAAGGGACTTGATGCCGATGAGGATGAGGAAGAGAGGCAGCGATTGGATGAATTTGGCACTTGGCTCGAGAGCTCTCATACTGTGGAGAACACGGCCAAATGAGGGACTCGGGCGATCTTGTGGCAGTTGTGCTATGTCACCTCTTGCTGAAGGAACCTACTCCAGTACTGTGTGCGAACCGTTGAGGATCTCCACCAGTACTGAGCTGCGGAGTCCATTTCCAGAAAGCTTCGTGTAATATACCTACTCTGGGGAATGTAGAATTGTATTTAATTCGCGATCGATCCATATGTTGTTGGTGGTGTCTGACATGACAAGATCCGAATCGACTATTTTTACAGACATACTACTGGTACAAACTACTAATCCACTAGTGAACGACCAGTGGCTTGAACCCGCCAACTCAATTGTGGTTCGCTCCTGCAGTCTCGTGACAGCGCTAACCGGAATAGGGGAAGAGCCCCTATTTACCTGCCCGAAAAATAAACTAAGCCAATGTTGACTTGTTGATCCCCTGACGCCCGCACAACGAACAACTTGACGTTCCTCACCGCTCAACTTCAAGTCCATCTTTCCTCCTTCTCTCTTCTCCTCTTCCTCTTACCTACTCCCCGTCGACTGTCTCCCCCAGTCTATCCAACAACCCTTCGCCAACCACCTCTTCGCCTTTTTCAAACCCACCCTATCCTTCCAACACCGTCAATATTCCTTCCACAATGCGTGAGATCGTATGTTGCTCCCCTACCCCCCGGTTCCCCTCTTCAGACGCGTTTTTCGGGGATACCCCCCCTGATAGGGACCCCACCCGTTCTCCAATGATACAAGTTTGCTGACGGAGTTTGTTTCATCCTATAGGTTCACCTTCAGACCGGCCAGTGTGTAAGTTCGACTATGATTTGATGTCTAGAAGGACCATGGCGACGGATACTAAACATGATATTGGTGATAGGGTAACCAAATAGGTGCCGCTTTCTGGTATGTCTCGATGCCTTCGAGTTAATGTGCTTTGGGCCAAGGAACTCCACAGAAGCATGAACTCGGATGTGCCCTATTGTGTCTGCCACGTGTTTGCTAACATCTTTGCAGGCAGACCATCTCTGGCGAGCATGGCCTTGACGGCTCCGGTGTGTAAGTACAATCCGTGTACACCTCGAACAAACGACGACCAGATGGCATTGGAAGAGTTGGAATGGGTCTGACGGGAAGGATAGTTACAATGGCTCCTCCGATCTCCAGCTGGAGCGTATGAACGTCTACTTCAACGAGGTGCGTACCTCAAAATTTTCAGCCTCTATAAAAACGCTTTGCAAGTCCTGACCGCTTCTCCAGGCCAGCGGAAACAAGTATGTCCCTCGTGCCGTCCTCGTCGATCTTGAGCCCGGTACCATGGACGCCGTCCGTGCCGGTCCCTTCGGTCAGCTGTTCCGTCCCGACAACTTCGTTTTCGGCCAGTCCGGTGCTGGTAACAACTGGGCCAAGGGTCACTACACCGAGGGTGCCGAACTGGTTGACCAGGTTGTCGATGTTGTCCGTCGCGAGGCTGAGGGTTGCGACTGCCTCCAGGGTTTCCAGATCACCCACTCCCTCGGTGGTGGTACTGGTGCCGGTATGGGTACTCTCCTGATCTCCAAGATCCGTGAGGAGTTCCCCGACCGTATGATGGCCACCTTCTCCGTTGTCCCCTCCCCCAAGGTCTCCGACACCGTTGTTGAGCCTTACAACGCCACCCTTTCCGTCCACCAGCTTGTTGAGCACTCCGACGAGACTTTCTGTATCGACAACGAGGCTCTGTATGACATCTGCATGCGCACCCTCAAGCTCTCCAACCCCTCTTACGGTGACCTGAACCACCTGGTCTCTGCTGTCATGTCCGGCGTGACCACCTGTCTCCGTTTCCCCGGTCAGCTCAACTCTGATCTTCGCAAGTTGGCCGTCAACATGGTTCCTTTCCCTCGTCTCCACTTCTTCATGGTTGGCTTCGCTCCTCTGACCAGCCGCGGCGCCCACTCCTTCCGTGCCGTCTCCGTTCCTGAGTTGACCCAGCAGATGTTCGACCCCAAGAATATGATGGCTGCTTCTGACTTCCGTAACGGCCGTTACCTCACCTGCTCTGCCATCTTGTATGTGACTCCTATTTTCTATTTGTTCTGCCCTCTTTTGTTCTAAATCTGACCATTCTATAGCCGTGGAAAGGTCTCCATGAAGGAGGTTGAGGACCAGATGCGCAACATCCAGAGCAAGAACCAGACCTACTTCGTTGAGTGGATCCCCAACAACATCCAGACCGCCCTGTGCTCCATTCCTCCCCGTGGTCTCAAGATGTCCTCCACTTTCATCGGAAACTCCACCTCCATCCAGGAGCTCTTCAAGCGTGTCGGCGACCAGTTCACTGCTATGTTCCGTCGCAAGGCTTTCTTGCATTGGTACACTGGTGAGGGTATGGACGAGATGGAGTTCACTGAGGCTGAGAGCAACATGAACGACCTTGTCTCTGAGTACCAGCAGTACCAGGACGCCTCCATCTCCGAGGGTGAGGAGGAATAGTAAGTGATCCCCATTGGCCCTACTCAAGTATTTGTGTTAACCAGTTTGCAGCCTCGAGGAGGAGCCCCTTGAGCACGAGGAGTAAATAGCTTCCAGTCACTGAAGACTCGGATTGAGATCTGACAGCAATACCCTTGATAAGTCCATGTTCTCTGTGGCTCTGGCCTGGTTCACGGGTCTTGGTCATTACATTATTTTGTCCGAGCGTTTTTAATAACTTTCCTGTTCTTAATTTCGAAAGGCCTGTAGAGCCCTTGAGACTATTGAAATCAAACAGCACATAGTTCAAAAGCAATCAACTGGTGCAGTATTTTGTACAGCCCTAGTCCCAACATAATCAATTATCTATTCTTTCTTTTTTTTAATCCCGCCGCTCATTCCAATGGAGGCGTATCTGCAAAATAAGAGTTCGGAGACGTCTCCACTGCATATCGATGACCCCTGACATCAGCTTTTTCCGCTGCTGCCCGAATCTCACGCAAATCTTCCATACTCAACTCCACCTCCAATGCCCCCATATTCTCATTGTAGTAGTCGATACTCTTTGTCCCTGGAATGGGAATGACATTATCACCTTGCGCCAACAACCATGCCAGCGCCAACTGGCCTACCGTTATGCCTTTCCGGACAGCAATGGCATGCAATTTCTCCGCCAGCTCTAGGTTCTTGTGGAAATTCTCTGGAAAGAAACGTGGTATTTCCTTTCGAAAATCACCCTCTTCTAGGTCATCAGGACTCTTAAACCGGCCGGACAATAGACCCCGACTTAGAGGTGAATATGCCACAAGCGCGACGCCGAGTTCCTTCGTGGTGTTCAGGAGGTCAGTCTCGGGCTTTTCAACATCCAACGCAAAAAGACTGTATTCCATCTGGACTGCGGCAATGGGGTGCACAGCGTGAGCTCTTCGAAGCGTCTGAGGCGACACCTCCGAAAGACCAATATAGCGAATCTTCCCTTCTCTACAGTAAAACATTAGTACCAATCAACCTCTCCCCCGAAAGGGAAGAGAAATGCGGAACCCACCGAACCAGTCCCACCAGCCCCTCCACGGTCTTTTCAATAGGAGCCGCCGTATCAACCCGATGCACATAGAACAAATCGATATAACTCGTCTGAAGTTTCTCCAGACTCCTCTCGCAACACTCTCGCGCATACTCTGCATCATTTCTCCCCGGTCCGCTACCCACCTGTCCGAACTTCGTCGCCAGGACTATATCTTTTCGTTTGTCGGGATTCAGCGCCAGCCACTTGCCAATTAGCTCCTCATTGTCGCCGTAGTTGTTCGCTGTATCCCATAAGCGTTGCCCCGTTGCATAGACGTGGTCTAAGAAGGCGAGGCGCTTGGAGTCCGGTTCGGGTGTGTTGGTGTAATAGGCGCTGAGGGACATTGCCCCGTAACCGATGGGGGTTACAGGGGTTTTTTGCTCGAGAGATCTCAGTGGGTAGGGCATGGTGATTCTATTCTTTTGTTTCTTGCTGTTTTGATGTATGAGGGGTGGACCATATATATGGTAGCTCGATGAGGGTTGAGATGGTATGATTCAAGATTAGTAGTAGTAATACTGGGAACCGGATTCTTCAGCTTTTATAACTATATCAGAAACTTAGTAGTTTACTAATTACTCTCATCTTGGGTATACAATTCTGAATCATCCAGAATACGAAGTAGATTGCTTTGTAATGTTGAGTATGCGGGGTTCTTAGGGCTGAGCTAGTTGGAGCCGTGCTCTCTTTTATAGTACTGGATCGGGATTAGTTTGATGATGTTCGTATTACTAAAGTTTGTACCTTTTCCAAGTTCTATGGAACCCTTTCCCAGCCGGGTTGTATAGTTGCCGTTTTGGGCCTGATTCGGTGCTGCTTATTATTAATATGGATGTGTGGGCAAGTAAATCATGTGTGTGTGTGTGCTGAGTATCCCGGACTTGAAGGTGTTAGGGAATATCTCTCTGCCAATCTGAGCTCAATGAACTTCTAGTGGTGGCTATTAGCCTGAAGTATTGAGTAGAATATGGTCTTAGTTACAAATCATTGAGATATACGCCGTACTGTAGCTGAATATTACTGTTATATGAGTTTTCATTGTCAAAACGTTGTAGGAATTGTCCTTTGCAACACCTATCACGTCCAACGTAAATTTGATATCCCAAATCTATCAAGGAGGAAGTCAGAAAGATGTATATGTGTATATTCATTAGAATTATCGTTCTTGTTTAACGAAACGTATTGAGTCAAACGCCATATTAGAGAGGAATCAAACGATACAAATAATGTAGGAAGGTGCCATGACTTGCCACAACATCGGTATCCTTTAGAACTGCAGAAGGGGTCTCTAGAATTTATTTTCAGAGTAATGCAGGAACACATGTATAATCCGTTTTCCCTCCTCTAGAAACTCGGTAAGATTTATGCTTACTCTACTCTAGACCATTCTGGCCCCATTTATCTAGACGAAGCTGACGACCTTCTTAGCCGAACCTTATTTGCCGAAGAACAATTCAATGCTATTTATTCAATGTTCTGATCTTGTTCCCCACTAATAATCACTCAAATGTTCACTTGAAGTACAGGTAATGCGATGGTGGTCTATTTCAACGAGGTTGACAACAACTGGGCAAAAGGGCTACAAGTCCCCAGTCACACACTTGGTTCTCTTCCATAATCTTACATCATCACATTCAAACATAGTTGCTATATTAAGGATGCTTATTTTCGTCTGGAGTTTAGCCCGGGCTGCAGGGTGAGACGCCGAAGATGACGGCATCCACAAAGCTTCACATCGGCCTAACCTATACTGTGTTAGGGCTACTGTACCTGTGGGATCGTCGTTGGACACGGTCGGGGATGACCCGTCTTGCTGTCTGGGAGGCCTGAGGGAAGTGTCGAGATTCAGCCACAGCCGCTCGAGCTTGGAATTAGTATATGCATGCTGAGACAACATGTGGGCTGAGCGCAGCAGTGCCCATCTCACCATCTATATTCTGCCGCTACCGTGAAAATTGTAATCAAGGGATCACCGGGATATAAAAGCTCGCTAATCCTCATCCTGAATATAATTGTCCCCAACAATACAACTCAATTGTCAATCACTCAATCACTCAACTACTCCTGACTCTCCACAATCTACTTCCTCTTCATTTGCTAGACTCAATCATCGAGCAAGATGAAGGCCACCACTATCGGCACCCTCCTCCTGGCTGCCGGCACCGCGCTGGCCGTGCCTGGCAAGCGAGCCCAGAAAGACGTCGCCATCAGCGGCTTTTCTGCCTCTCAGAACGACCAGCAGGGATTTGTCACCTTCAGCTTCAGCGATCCTAACTACAACAAGGCACCTATCGATGCCAACGTGCTCTGGTACGCTTCTCTCCCCTCCCTCCTCTCTCCGGTCAACGACCAAACTAACATACATGGCCAGGGAACGTCCCGGAAACCCTCCCTCAAACGCTCGCACCAGTGACGGTGCCTACCTGGTCCAGTTCCCAGACGGCGTGGACGACATCTCCACCTTCACCTTGCAGGTGCAGCGGGAAAACAGCACCGCTAAAGTCTCTCTTACCGTTGATGATGCCGCCGAGGACACCAACTGGAATTGTTCCAATGTGAATGGCACCGAGAATGGGAAGAAGTGCCACTACAATGGGAACATCGTCTTCACGCCTCCTTCTCCTTCTTCGTCTCCTTCTGCTTCTCCCTCGGCTTCTCCCTCTCCCTCTGCCTCTGCCTCTCCTTCGTTTACACCTTCCGCTGGGCCTTCTTCTTAAGCTCCACTAGCTTTTTGATGGCGATCGGGATAAGATAGACACAGGAATTGAAGATGGGGAAAGTTGTTTCTTTTCAAGTTTTGAATTTTGCGTTTTGCGTTTTGTCTGTTTGATATAGTAGATACCGCACGGGTATCAGCATGGTGGCTGATACTGGATAGACTAGAGCAATGTTTTGTGCTTTTGATCTATGTACCAAGAATGAATTTTCCGAGTCTTTCGAGATACTCTAGCTCAACTTCTTTAGACCTTGAAATGAAACCTTCTCTATTTATCGAGATCATAGCCCCCGCCCCCGGCTCTGACATAAGCCGTAGAAACGTTCATACTAGGAAGCATACACCAAACTCCTTGACAGTAAATAACGGCAGACATAGCTAACAAAAGGAAAATACCAATGCAGGTATAGGATAGAGAGTGTTCGAGAGAGATATTTTTTATGTATACTTGAGACGATTATGTTGGGCGCCCTTCATGGTTGCTTTGGAGTGGTTCGGGATGGTAAGTGTCTTGGGCGTGTCCTAGAGCCGGTCCATGTTTGGGACGTGCCTGGATTATTTTGAGTGTGGGCACTGAGTGCTTATGTTATGTGTAACTCTTAGGAAAGCGGACTGTATTATGGAATATATTTCTACTTCTACTTGGCGGGATTGATTTCGTTTTCTGGTGGAGGTATGGTCTGTGTAGGTTTCATTATGTTTTATATACTTAGTAGGAAGTTGAGGTTTCATTTGTTCGGGATTGGATGTTGTCTTGGGACGGTTATTTTGAAGTTTATACCGAAGAAAATAGAAGGTAATTAGGAAAACTTCATAAAATAGAAAATAAATGAATATGTAAGTCAATATGAGGGTAGAGAAGGGTATCTGCAAAGAAAGCAAAAAATGCGGGTCAAGAGAAAGGAAGATGGTCGAATAGAAGCATCAGAGACAAAACAGTAATGACATGTACTGTTTCTCCAATGATCATGTGCGAAGTGGATGAGAATGACGGAAAGGAAATTTTGGAAAGAATGAATAGGTGCATAAGTATATACAAACGTATCGTCGCGGGCTGTCAAGGTGACAACTACCCTGCGACCTTGCACGATGATACTATGATTAATGTAAAGAAAGGAAACGTGTGAGAATATCAAGGTTAACTCATAGACAAAAAAAATCGGCTAAGCCTTGGTCTCTATGGTCGTCTCGTTGCCTGTTGGAGTCAAGCTACGCTTGGAAGCAGCTTCGCCGTTCTCACTGTTGGCGGCACTGATCACGTCGCGGGTAATCTCGACGTAGTCATACTATTTTCATGTCAGTTGATTGTTATTGGATGGTTAGTATATTCAAGGGGTGACTTACAGCAAACTCGCCAATCTCGGCGTCGTCAATGCCCATGATCTCGTCTTCTTCGGGGGCACGCAAACTGAGACCCGGGATCAGGTTGATGATGAAGAGGATAATGCAGCTTCCGAAGAAAGAGTATGCCATTCCAGTAACAGAGTCGGCGAGCTGATAAGCTAGCTGGATGTAGTTGTGGTTGATCCAACCGCCATCGATTGTGGTAGAGCCATCAAGGTGAGCGATGTAATCACTGGGGTTATGTTAGCTGTTGCACACACAGACGGAGGACACGGGTCATCTTACGCAGCGAAAAGTCCAGTCAGAAGGTTGCCTACCAGACCTCCAATACCGTGGACAGCGAAGATGTCAAGCGCATCGTCGACCTTGATCACGTATTTGAGTTTCGTGGCATAGTTGCAAGCGACGGCTCCTACGACACCGAAAATGAAAGAGGCCCAGGGAGTGACGAAGCCCGATGCGGGGGTGATGGCCACCAAGCCGGCAATCACACCAGAGCAGAAACCAACAGTAGACCACTTCCTCTCCAATCGGTAGTCCAGAAGACACCAGGTAACACCACCTACGGCGGCGGCGAGGTTGGTAACCACGGCTGCCATGACGGCACGAAGGTTGGCGCTCAAGGCGGAGCCGGCATTAAATCCAAACCACCCAACCCAAAGGAATACAGTACCGATAACCACATGTGTTACGTTGTGTGGGCGATAGTTAAGCTCGTGGGTGCCGTGTCCGCGGCGCTTTCCAAGCATCAACGAGTATGCCAATGCTGTGCAACCAGACGCGATGTGAACGGGTGTACCACCCGCAAAATCAAGACCACCAAGGTTTGCCACCCAGCCGCTCGAGTTCCAGGTCCAGCATGCCAGAGGATCGTAGATAATGGTGGACCAGACAAAGCTAAAAACCATGCAGGGAAGCATACGGCCACGCTCTGCGACAGCACCAACTGCGAGCGCCACGCTAGTGGGTTGTAAGTATAATGGGTATAGGTGGAAAAGATATGGGAGTTCTTGAGACTCACGTAATACATGCGAACATGCCCTGGAAGACAGCAAACAAGAGATCCGGGACCTTGTCGCTGCCAACAGACGGTGCGCCCAGGACACCTTTGAACCCAAAGTTGTTCAAGTCACCGATATATTTTCCGGCAGTATGAGAGAAAGCGAGAGAATACCCCCAGAAGAACCACTGAAAGGAGACTATTCCGACAGACATCATCGATAGCCATAGTAGCGAAAGTGCCGACTTCCGACGGGCAAGGCCAGAATAGAAGAATCTTGTATGGTCAGCAAGGCAATTGTTTGGTTAGGGCTGGACTTCGTGGCCCTGGATTTCCATACCCGACTCCAGGAATCATCAACAAGACAAGAGCCGTCGAAACAATAACCCATGCGATGTCACCAGACTAAGGCGGTTAGTTGACCCGTTCGTAAGGGCTGTTGACTGGGAGCACCAACGCTGTAGTAGATGTTAAGATCTTCCGTCAAAGAGTCACCTCCGGTCCCGGTCGCCGACCCATTGTAGGCTACAGGGTATTCTGCCATTGGGAATTGCTACCCGCGGATCGAATACCGCAAAACAATCCTAGACTGTGAGGCTCAGGTGGATCACCGTGGCTGTCGCTGAACAACGAGTATCCAGTCCGATGAGATGTGTTGAGCTGATGAGATACTCGACGGAACACTCGACCGGTAGGTAATCGGTAAGATCAATTCTAGAAATTGGACAGGTACCAAAACCTGGTTGCTCAGAAAGAAAGAGAGAGAAAGAAAAGGATAGGTGGCGTAGGGGACGATAAGAATGAAAATATGACAGACAGGGGCACAGGATACAGGAGTCATAAATAAGTCGACGACACCAGTCACAAACTTCAGCCTCGACACACGCCCTGGTCCACTATTGGATGCACCTTGATTATCATCACTCACTTGATTGGCATCATCCGATATCAAAGAAGTCAGGCCAAGACCTGCCCCGAGGACAGGAAAGTGGATACAGATGGGAAGGATTACGAGCCAGTGCTCATCTGACTATTACTTACAGTGTGGATAAGAAGCTTTCCGATAGATAGTCCTTCGGTAATATGAATGAATTGATTGATTTTCCTTTTGCTAACCACTTGTCCGTGATTTTTCTAATACTCTGTGGGTAAGAGAGAGAGAGAGAGAGAGAGAGAGAGAGAGAGACTTGTGGAGCGATCTCGGACAGAAGCACATTTCCATGGAAAGTCTGAAATGATTGATTGGTGAGCATCGATGACTAGTACTAGCAGCAGCAGCAGCAGCAGCAGTAGTAGTACCGACAATGGAAAACCCCTCCGGTGGTGGATTGGAAGCTCTTAGTGTAGGTCTGGAGCCTTTGGACGTGTACAGAGATAGGGAACCGTCACAACCAATCAGGAGCTCGGATTCCCCCATATTATCCTGACCAGAAGCAAGATAGATAGATAAGTAACGAAAAAGATAATTTATTAAATCAATAAATCAATAAATTCCCGAGTCTTGTATCGGCTGCAGTTTATTTCCATCAAGAGAGTGGAGTAAGTGATCTTCATGCCATTTGATTCTGTCGCTCTGTTCATGTCATCCAAACGATATAGGAATATCATGGGCTTAGTTTGACTTGAATTCCAAGGTCGAATTCCCCCTCGAAAAAGAGCATCTTGTTTGTCAAAAATCACCTGTCAGTCTCATTGGCTTTAGCTCGAATTCCTCGTATCAGCTCGTTATCAGACCTCCTGGGGGGGGGGCCAATCATCACTTTCCATGGTGGCTTATCATCTTACTGTCTTCCACACATTGTTATTACGGTCACTGACTACGACTTGCACGGTTATCGATAGAGACCATCGTTCCCAAATCTGATATCGGATCGTATAGAGCATGGAACCGTTGACGTCCGTTACTACTGTTGGACAGTCTACTACTGTAGAGGTTCTCCGGAGTATGAACACCGTCTCCACCATCATACGGAGCAAAGCCCTAAAGGACCCCCATCTGGACCCTTCCCCAGTCTGCAGTTTTCTTTTTCTTTTTCTTTTTATAAAAAGGTACATAATTCTACATGACGATCTTGTACATCTATGGACCGGGTACCTGCCTCCTTCCCTCTTCTTGCGACGTACTACGTACTACTGACAGGTAGAGGAGGAGGAGGAGGAGGAGGAGGAGGAGGAGGAGGAGGAGGAGGAGGAAGTAGAGATAAGCATTTAAGCTCCCATTGGTCAGAACCCGGGCTTTAGTGGCCGCTCGGCATCCCGAGGTGTACCGGAATAGTACGGCCTTGGCACTGTCTTGCCCTTGGTATCAATATTGACTGATTCAATCCATCTCCCTTGACTCGTTGAGTTCAAAGGCACATGTGGATGTACAGAGCCTTGCTTCCATTTTTTGACCATCGAAAAGCTTGAGGAGGAGCTGCATACACTATGAAAGACAATACCAAATGTGGCAAATATGGGCCTTGAGAACGACATTTGCTGTGTAGTAGTTATTCAAGCTCAAACCTGTTTGTGAGAATGTACATACTAGTCGTTGTACATACAACAGCTATGAGGCTTGAACATCTGTCCTTACTGGTAAGGCTTCCCCAGAGGTTCATCCTGAGGTCAAATCTTGAATGGTCTTCTTATGCCATGGGACCCGCACATGCCAAATCGAGCGTGAGGTCCCACTGATCAACATGATATCGCCTTTGATGCATGCTACTATTGATCGACGAGCTTTGTCCCATGGCCAACTGCAGAGCCTAAAAAAAATCTAATATTTATATATTCAGACTTGCAGACAAACTCATAGATTTGTCATACTGGAAAACTGCCTGTAGGATTTGATCGGCTCTTAATATTTGCAAATGATTCAAAGTTCCGGGTACTATACTCCCCTTGGTGCGCGTGACACGGTGATAATGGGAGGCGTGGACACTCCCCCTAACCAGAGTATCTGTACAGGCTGACACGCATCATGTCATGAATAAGCTCTCGGCAACACAAATAAAATCAATGCTTTGCTTTAACGGGGTCACACTCTAGTCAAAGAAGCACCCTCCACCATATTGATTAGTAAGCATCCGCACAGTAACTAACGGGCGCAGCCACAATCATCCTGATAGGGAAGCACCGCCACAGACCCCTATCTAATCCACCATAAGCTCCTCCTCATCAACTCCGCCATCCAGTCCATGTGAAACGTGGAGGCTCACCAGGATCGTGGATTTGAGACCATGGAGCACCCTGATATGAACAACAACGACTCGGATGGCTCAGGGTCATCCGATGAGCTTCTCCAACAATCCTACGCCAGATCAAACTCGAATTTTACAGACGCTTTTGACGGCCAAGTACAAACGCCAGCTACCACAATCTCCTCCTCGCCGCCTCCTTCGGGTCTCCCATCCTGGGTCAGCTCCACAGCCTCACGTCCACGCGGCTCCAGTGTCGGAACCCCAGCCGTGCTTGAAAAGGCGCCACCCGGCGAAGGTCTTCCAGTGTCGGATGTGAGGCCTCAACGTCCGGCAGGTCCCGCCAGGACACCTTCCAATACATACGCTCCTCAACGCCGTCCACCTCAATACATCAGCTTTCAGAATGACCGCCAGAGATCCTCCTCGACAAAACGTAACTCCAGACGGGATCCCAACGCCCAGTACAGAGCCCAGGAAAAGGCATATGTTCAAAGGATTCGTGCGGATCCTCAGGCGTGGTACAGTCACTTTGACGAGGCCCAAAATATGAGCATAGTCGGTGATTCCGACTTAGAAGAACCATCCCCATCGTCAGAGGTGCCATTTGAAGATGACGCTTACGACCCAGATATTCAACTTTTCCTTACGGATGATAATCAACCAACGCTTGAGGAGCTGAAGAATCCGAAAAACCAGGAAAGACTCGAATGGCACTCTATGCTGGCTTCGGTATTGAAGGGAGACGTGGTGAAGCAGGAAAAACAACGACTTCTAGGGTCTGCCGACACTAAGCGGTCGTCGGCTCAGAATAATGCAATATGGATGGGAGTCAGGGCTAAGACATGTGGGCGGAGTATTGCCATGCAGCGGAAATTGATCGAGGAGGCTCGCTCGGGACTTGGGCCGATAATTGAGGAAATTATCAAGTTTGAGATCAAGGGTGAAACGGAGATTGGCAAGCCACCAATCAAGCAAGTTGAGGACATCGTCGAACAGATTGAGAAATGTGAAATGCTCTACTCAACGCAAAAGGAATTGGAAGCTGCCCATGCTCGCGTTGCTTCGGAGGAGTTCGTCTCTAGTCGTGAAGCTGTGCTGGCATGGCATAACACTACGATTCTTATCAATACGGAGCTTGCCATTTTGCAGAAGTGGGTCGGTAATGATGAGCTTGACTTTAGCAAGACGAGAGCCAAGTCTGTCAATAGGGATCTTACCGACGAGTCGTCCTTCCTCGACCGCATCATGAAAGAGGACGGGCTCAAGACCCTTCAAGGGAAGCACAATATGCTTCACGGCGTCAGTGAAGTCATTCAGAAAGCTAAGAGTACCTTGATTGAAAATGCAAACTCTTTCGCCAAACGGCACTTGCCTCCCTACATCGAGGAACTTCTCACGCTGATCAACTTCCCATCGCGTCTCATACAAGAGATCATCCGTGTTCGACTATCTTATGCTAAAAATATGAGAGACCCTGCACAGCAATCGCCTATCCTGGTCGACCAAATGATTTCGCAATTTCAGATTCTGATGAGGGTTGCGGTCGACCTCAAGCAACGCTACTTGGACATCGCGAAACCGGAACCGGGCTGGGACCTGCCCCCTTGCATTGACGAGAACTTCGACTCGGTCGTTCTAGATGCCTTGAAATACTACTTCCGGCTCCTGAATTGGAAACTAAATGCGAATAAAAACACATTTAAAGAAGCGGAGATTCTCGAACAAGATTGGGAGTTCTCCAATCACATCGGTCGTCAGCTTGAAGGTGGAGATATTGAAGTGGCCGAACAGTTCAGGTACAGTAGCTGATTTGTAGTGTGCATGTGTGACCTTTGACTGACAAGCAAATAGTGCATTGACCGCAAAGTCCCTCCAACGCTTGATGATCCATTTTGAACGAGAACTGGTAATACACCAAAATGAGGACCCGGCCGACATGGACAAACGTTACAAGAGCGTCCTGGATTCAACCCGGATTCGCCAGCGAAAGCTCTACCGTTTCTCCCGTTTCCTTCGGCAGCTCTTCGAGAATGCTACAGAATACAATATCCCGGCAGATGTTTCCTATGAGTTCTTTGAGTCGCTCCTGATCTCCGACCATTTCCTAATCAAGTCAAATGCATCTACTGGGCAAAAAGGGGTTTATCTGTTTGCGCATCAAGCGCTGTGGAATCGCCCTGGCGACATTCGAGCTATTTTAGGAACATCTTTTCGTGAAGAGGATGTCCCCAAAGACTCGCCTCATGTGCCATATATCCTAGTAGTTCGCCCGGAAAAGCCCCTGAACTGGGCTGGCAAGGAAATGCAAGTGGGCTTGTTGGAGCAACCTACGGACCTACGACTGGGAAAACTGCGTCTCGTCGTTGAGGGCACACAACAACGCTTGTCTAATGCAAGACAGGAACTGTCTCAGTTGACTGGGATGCAGCTGGACATGACAATTGAACAACGCGCTAATCTTGGACGGGTGAATGTGGAGCTAAACAAGATCAAGAAAATCTCGTTCAAGCTGTCTATGACTATCATGGATAGTGTAGCGATCATTAGAAATCAACTGAAAGAAAGGGGGGTGGAAAATCACGATCTCATCCAAGCGTGCTACGCCTTTGCTACTGAATTCGGCAAGCGCTCGTCCAATGTTGATCCGAACAGGCGTGCAATGAATAGCGCCAGACTCGTTGAGTTGTCACTCGACTGGGTGTCTTTCATTTGTGATGATTGTGACGCCGCTGATAGAAAAACTTTCAAGTGGGCTGTGTCAGCATTAGAGTTCGCAATGGCTATAACCTCCAGCAGGCATCTTCTGTCCATGGATGATATTCAATTTGCTCTATTGAGGCAGAAGGTAGCCGGGTGCATGTCGCTTCTTATTTCTCATTTTGATATCATGGGTGCTCGGTCTTCACGTGCAGCTCAGGCTGAGAAGCAGCGCATGGAGGAGCGTGCAGGCGGAAGGAAATTTGGCTCCGGTCGGATTCTGACAGATGCAGAAGCGACTAAGCTTGTTCGTGAGCAACGTCTAACCCACTTACAAGATATTGAAGACCGGAGAGTGGAAGAAGATGCGAAACGTCAGGCCCTAGGACGGGTGCTGGAAGGATCTAATGAGGCCGACAGGTCTCTCGCCGTGTTGTCATCGTCTGCCACCAATGTCACTCTTCGATGGCAACAAGGCCAGTTCATCGGTGGCGGAACGTTCGGCTCTGTTTACGCTGCTATCAATCTCGATAGCAATTATCTCATGGCGGTCAAGGAAATCCGACTGCAAGATCCTCAGCTCATCCCCAAAATTGCCCAGCAGATCCGCGACGAAATGGGCGTTCTCGAGGTGTTGGACCACCCTAACATCGTTTCATACCATGGCATCGAAGTTCACCGCGACAAAGTCTATATTTTCATGGAGTATTGTTCGGGTGGATCTCTTGCTAGCTTGCTTGAGCATGGCCGTGTTGAGGACGAGACTGTCATTATGGTGTATGCTCTCCAGCTTCTGGAAGGATTGGCATACCTGCATCAGGCTGGTATTGTCCATAGGGACATTAAGCCGGAAAATATTTTGCTAGACCATAACGGCATTATCAAATATGTCGACTTTGGCGCGGCCAAGATCATCGCTCGCCAAGGCAGGACTGTTGTTCCCATGGATGCTTTCGCCTCAGCGGGTCATAAGGAGGCTATAGTGCCGAAGGATGCCCAAATCGCGAACCAAAGGGGCAAGAACCAAAAAACAATGACCGGAACACCAATGTACATGTCGCCCGAAGTGATTCGTGGCGACTCCAACAAGCTGATCCACCGCCAAGGGGCGGTTGATATTTGGTCCTTGGGTTGTGTGATCTTAGAAATGGCGACTGGTCGTCGTCCCTGGTCCGCTTTGGACAACGAGTGGGCCATTATGTACAATATTGCCCAAGGAAATCAGCCTCAGTTACCGACCCATGATCAACTCAGCGACACGGGCATCGACTTCGTCCGCCGGTGCTTCGAATGCGATCCTTTGAAGAGACCTACTGCAGCAGAGTTGCTCCAGCACGAATGGATAGTCTCAATCAGACAACAGGTCGTACTTGAACCACCAACACCTAGCAGTGATCACAGTAGCAGCATAAGCAGTTCCACCTCGGGCAGCCGTCAGAATTCGAGCTATATGTGATCTTGTTCTATCCTCTGTTTCTTTCTGTCACATGTACATTCTAACCCATTCTTTGATCCTGAACAATACTTCTTCTCTTTCTCTTTTCTTTCCCTTCTTCTTCACCGAAAAGTTCTGCACATGATCACAAAACTATCTCCCTACCACATCAACAGATTGCGTTTGATACCCCTTATACATACAATGACTAAAGCCTGTTTCTCCCGGTCAATCCTTAACGTGTGATGTGTTCCTTTTTCTTTAGCGCTGGTTTCTTCTCAGGTCTAGGCATGGTGTTACGGTTCTGTCATACGATGCTTGCACGCATGAAACTCAATTAGTTTGCATCTCCATGTTTTAAATGAACCTCCAGTCTACTATGTTAGCGGCATGTTCTCAGCCCTTAGTACCAGCGTACTTCTATAGAAGCTGTCATGAAACTGCGAAAACAACTTCATCAAAGGTGAATCTAGATACCTCCTTCTCACAGCATGATGAGTCAATGAAAATCAACATGGTGACGGGACATCGGTTTCCGAGAATACACTCGTATAAGGATATATGGTCCACAAAAGACAGAATATGGCTACTATTCAGGTCCGACAAAGATGAATGAAATGTGAAAATAGCCCAAACGTGTTGAACCGAGATCCTTCAGATAACGCTACCTATTTGCACACAATGGCCCTAGTGTGGATCGAGAATAAAAGACAAAGACCAAGAAGATAGAAGGAATAAAGACAACATGCGGTGATAGTTAGAACCCTAGAACCAACGAGGACGCCAATTTAAGAAAACAGCCATCATAAAAACCATGAATCGAGTGTCTGAAGTAGGGAGCGAGAGGGTAGAAAATAAGCATTCCTGTGCTTTGGAAGCACCACGCCGTGAATTTGATCACAGGCGGGAAATGGTGGAGAGAATTAGAAGGTGGCGATAGAGGCAATTAAAAAAGAAGTAGAAGGTAAAGGCCGAGGGACTTGATGACCAGAACATTGTCCCGCGCCATAGAAGTTGGTATCAACGAAATTCGATAGCAGGGGTGCAGCCGTGATCCGGAACGTGTTTGAGCTCCAGCTGCTGGTACCTATTGAAACTAATTTATTAGTATCAGAAAGATATGAGGGGAAATTTTACTAGCAATTGGGACACATACTTCTCGCTCTTTGCATGGAAGTATATACCAGTCACGGTACCTTCCACTTGGTTGAAGCAGATGTAGTAAAAGCCTTCGAAGCTTGCACCTGAGATTGTCCTTACACGGTGGTCGGGCACAAGGAAATACTCCTTCCATCGCATGAAGATATGCTCGCGTTGGGCGAAATTGCGGTATGTGAAGTCCGGTCTTTTCGCCTGCTTAGCTAACGGCCTCCAAGCTGGGAATCTCGCCCAGTGATGCATATCAGTCTTCTCTGTAGCGCCCCATGCTTCATTTCTAGTCTTGAATGTATGTTTTGTTCCAATAATCTCTCCTTCGAAAAATGTAGTAAGGGTGGGATGATCCTCCGTGAGACCTGCATATAAAGGCAATTGGTCAGGTTCGACCGTCTAGGGCAGTCGTAGTCATGTTGGGGTATGGTACTGACCTTGAATTCTAAGATATCCACAAAGATATGATTCAACCATATCAACATGCTTTATCTCTACATCGACATTGTATATCTGACGGTCTGACTGCTGCGTGCCGGTGAATTTACTTCCGGGTCGCAAAAAGGACGATGTGTAATTAGGCAGAAGCTTCGATTGTCAGCGAAAAAGACCAGACCAAGACATAATTCTGATTGTCGCATACCCGTATATTTGAGAATTCATAATTCAAAAGTGCACTAGTGGAAGGTGTAGTAACAGAAGACTGGTTGGAGGAGCGTGGCGATTCCCCAGCAGGGCTCAATCTTCCCGCAGCAGCATCTTCGTCGGACTTTTCCATACTCTTGGCAGAGGTTCCAGGCACAGCACTGGCTTTTAATGCATCTGGGTTTGAACGAGTTGTAGCATCATCCGACCGAGTCAGCACGGACTGCGCCGACGTAATGGTGGGGGAGAGGGCATTATCGGGAGCATCGCTTTCCGCCACGGTAGATTCAGGTGAGTCTCGCCAGGACGACAGCCTCTCTATTTCAGGCGGACATGTTGTCCGAGTGGAGATTTCTTCAGCGATCGATGTGGCATTCAGGCTTGGTGTGTTGTCACTCGGGGTCGGCATTGAGGCGAATCAGAAAAGGAATGACATCGGATCCGGTTGGTATAAGGGTCTCAGACGACGGGACAAGAAAACAGACCAGCGATGTGTAAGCAAAATGCGAGAGAAATACTAAGAAGAGAGGAGAGAGAAGGTTTGATGTGAAAGGGGTGGTGAATGGAAGTCCATTCGACTCATGAAGTCCGGGGCGGAAGACGCACTTCCCAAAAGGGATAAGCCCGCTGATCATGCGAGCGCGGGGGAGGCAAACCAGCGCTTGGGGCGGATAATTCCTGGCGGGCCTTGGCCCTCAGGTCACCGCTCAGGCATTCATTCCATTTCCATTATTGGCTATGGTCTACTAATTCCATTCCACCCCTTTGATACATATTCATTTTTTTACCCGTTTAATTTTATTTTATACAAAACTACACAATTACTGAACAACCACAATTGCACACAGTTCATTAGGTCATCAGATGGGTATTTATTTCTCTGCTACGCACTCTGTAGATATCGGTTGCTAGCTATAGTATTGCGTCATCACTTGCCCATTGTATATGTATTGCGAAATTGACTCTCGGACTTCAATTGCCTCGCCATCCAAAACGCCCTTATTTTGAATCCTTAATTGAACAACCTCGTACCCTTGTGAAGTAACTGTCTTAAATAGGCTTGATCTGCGAGGGGGTCAGAGCGGTGTCTTCGAAATTAATAGAATCTGGCAGTACCTTGAAATGAAGAGAAATAAGAGAGAAAATGAAAGCTTTGAGATCCTGGACAAGGTAGTAGAAAACCCGAAGACCTTCTGGGTCTGCGGACTCGGTCACATCCACCAGCGAGCCGATTTTCGCGGTCTGCGCAAAGCCGTACACGTTAACAATCGTGGCCTTGTTCCCAAACACTCCAGGGCTAGATACGTACTTCAAAGGAGATATGTTCATTTCCAAGTCTGATTTCGAGTTCCTGTCGTCCGTCCTTATTCTTCTGGGGCCACTTGGAATCGTCCTCCCTGTTTCACATTAACATCCCATTTTTTACCTGAACATAGTAACCTATCGCATACTTCATGATCTCGCTATCCTTGATAATCCGTTTGATCTCCTGAATCATCGACGAGCTCACGCACACTATAGCATTCCCATTAGCGACGATGTTGTTTCTCACGGCGAGTTCTTTTACTGGCGCTCACTTTCTTTGCGGATAAGGGAGTCATTGCGGTAATTGGAGTTGTTTGCGTACCGCACGGCGGCACTGCGACCATCACCAAGGGAGCGGAAATCAAATTCTAGTGATCATTAGTACCTGAAGGAAAGCCAATATGCCATAGCAAAACCAACCTAAGAATTCATGTCCGAACCGCCCAGAGTGACCTGAGCTGCAGGACTGTCAGCAGCTGAGGAAACCTGGGCTAACGAATATCCATTTCTTACTAGTAGCGAAGATAGAAAGGTTCGTTCTGATTTTGCGTCGACATCTTCTCCAGGCTCTCTCCACCAGTAACGGCTGTGGCAGACAATACAAGTCGTTGGCTGTAAATTAGGTGCGGCCGGTGCCTGGGTCGAGTTGGGCCTTTGCACGGGATGGGGCTTAGTCATCCACACACTCCGGACAGCTTGCGCTCTCCGCCGCGCAAATGGACAACGTTGATTCTCAGATCAACATTACATGCTGGTGAATGCAAGGCTGGTGAGGGGAGTCGAATTGTTTTTTTAAGTTCCTTCCTACCGCTTGCTTCATACATCTGAGGAGAGTAGTTCCGGTACTTCTCCCTGCCCGCCTCCCCTGAAGGATCCAATCAATAACAATAGTCTTTTGTACTGACCACATTTAGCTCTCCTCCCTCCTTATCCCATTCCTGCCACGGCCGCTCACTTTTTAAACCCTCGTCACCATGGCGTCGTTCTTAGAAAATGCATACAGTCTTGTCCATTTGGACAACACGGCTGATCAGCCTTCCATACAGGACTTGAAGTTGCAGTTGGAGAAGGGCAATGATGAAACTAAGATGGACACGATGAGGACGATCATCACGATCATGCTCAATGGAGATCCAATGCACCAGCTGTTGATGCACATTATTCGATTTGTGATGCCTTCGAAGAGCAAGCCTCTCAAGAAGCTGCTGTACTTCTACTACGAAATCTGCCCGAAGCTCGATGCGAATGGCAAGTTGAAGCAAGAGATGATCCTGGTCTGGTAAGGCAAACCATTCGGCCGTTAGTTGGTGACTGCTCTAATGTACATTCGTCTGCGTAGCAACGGTATTCGCAATGACCTTCAGCACCCCAACGAATACATTCGAGGCAACACCCTTCGTTTCCTGTGCAAGCTCCGAGAGCCTGAACTCATTGAACCCCTCCTTTCGTCAGCCCGCTCATGCTTGGAACACCGTCATGCCTATGTGAGAAAGAATGCCGTCTGGGCCGTCGCTTCTATTTTCCAACATTCGGAAGCTCTTATTCCCGATGCGCCTGAACTCATCCAGACGTTCCTCGACACCGAGACTGACGGCACGTGCAAGCGTAATGCTTTCGCAGCTCTCATGTCCATCAGCCATCAGAAAGCCCTAGAGTACTTGGCCTCTACATTCGACAGTATTCCGAATACAGATGAACTCCTCCAGCTGGCGGAGCTTGAATTTATCAGGAAAGATGCGGTACAAAACGCTCAGAACAAGGTGGGTCATTGAAGAGCAGAAGGCTATTACAGGCTGCTAACGACCGGCAGGCGAGGTACCTGAAATTGATCTTCGACCTCCTAGACGCTTCAACCAGTACCGTTATCTACGAAGCTGCGACATCCCTTACTGCTCTCACCAGTAACCCAGTCGCCGTTAAGGCTGCTGCCCAGAAGTTAATCGAATTATGCATCAGGGAGGCCGACAACAATGTGAAGCTCATTGTTCTTGATCGGGTTGACCAGCTAAGGATCCGCAATGAAGGCGTCTTGGAGGATCTCACGATGGAAATTCTACGCGTCCTTTCCAGCCCTGACATCGACGTTCGGCGGAAGGCCCTCGGCATCGCATTGGAGATGGTCTCCAGCAAGAATGTCGAAGAGATTGTCATGCTACTGAAGAAAGAGCTCGCCAAGACTGTAGATGAACAATACGAGAAGGTATGTCTCCAATTCCATTGCAACAAAGCATCCAGCTGACAACCTATGTAGAATAGCGAGTATCGTCAACTTCTTATCCAATCGATACACAACTGTGCCATTAAGTTCTCGGAGATCGCTGCTAGCGTTGTTGATCTTCTAATGGACTTTATTGCGGACTTTAACAACAACTCTGCCGTTGATGTGATCTCGTTCGTCAAGGAGGTCGTTGAGAAGTTCCCTAACCTGCGCGCTTCCATCGTCGATCGCCTGGTGTCGACTTTGAGTGAGGTCCGTGCCGGAAAGGTTTACCGCGGTGTCTTGTGGGTTGTCGGTGAATACTCTTTGGAGGAGAAAGACATCCGTGAAGCCTGGAAGAAGATCAGAGCTAGCTTGGGTGAGATCCCTATCTTGGCCTCGGAACAGCGGCTGCTCGATGAAACCCCGGAAGACAGTGCACTCAAGGAACAGGCCAATGGCCATGCCAAGCCTTCAGCGCCAACAGGGTCCAGAAAGGTGTTGGCAGACGGCACGTATGCTACTGAAAGCGCTTTGACTAGCCAGTCCGCGGCTGCAGCCAGGCTTGAAGCCGTCAAAGCTGCTCAGAAGCCCCCTCTCCGTCAATTGATCTTAGATGGTGATTACTACCTAGCAACCGTTCTTTCTTCCACTTTGACGAAATTGGTGATGCGCCATTCTGAGGTTTCTGAGGATGCTGCTCGGACCAACGCACTGCGTGCGGAAGCAATGCTGATCATGATCTCGATTATCCGTGTCGGCCAATCTCATTTCGTCAAAGCCCCTATTGACGAGGATTCAGTGGATCGTATCATGTGCTGTGTACGTTCGCTTGCTGAGTTCTCCGAGAGGAAGGAACTGGAAACCACTTTTCTGGAGGACACGCGGAAGGCGTTCCGGGCCATGGTCCAGGTAGAGGACAAGAAGAGAGCTGCTAAGGAGGCGGTCGAGAAGGCCAAGAGTGCTGTGCAGATCGATGACGCTATCCCTATCCGGCAATTCTCCAAGAAGAACGCTCTTGAAGGCGCGGAAGAGATTGAGCTTGATTTAGCCAAGGCCACTGGTGGAGACTCCACGGTGGAAACTGTCTCTTCCAAACTCAGCCGTGTGGTACAACTCACTGGATTCTCGGATCCCGTCTATGCGGAGGCCTACGTCACCGTTCACCAGTTCGATATTGTTCTGGATGTTCTTCTGGTCAACCAGACTCTGGAAACCCTGCAAAATCTGTCCGTCGAGTTTGCAACACTTGGAGACCTGAAGGTTGTTGAACGGCCAGCAACCCATAACCTCGGACCTCGCGATTTCTTGAATGTGCAGGCTACAGTCAAGGTATCGTCCACGGACACCGGTGTCATCTTTGGTAACATCGTGTATGATGGCGCCAGCTCAACCGAGTCGCATGTTGTCATTCTCAACGACATTCATGCCGATATTATGGATTACATCCAGCCCGCTCACTGCACCGAGACTCAGTTCCGGACCATGTGGACCGAATTCGAGTGGGAGAACAAGGTCAACATCAACTCCAAGGCGAAGAGCCTCCGCGAATTCCTCAAGCAACTCATGGACAGCACCAACATGGCATGCCTGACGCCAGAAGCATCGCTGAAGGGCGACTGTCGATTCTTGAGTGCTAATCTCTATGCCCGGAGCGTATTTGGTATGTATACTTAACCCGTGTTGGGAGTATTTCGTCGGACGACGGCTAACGGTGTCATAGGCGAGGACGCACTTGCAAACTTGAGCATTGAGAAGGAAGGAGACGATGGACCGATCACTGGATTTGTGCGGATAAGAAGCCGTTCACAGGGACTGGCATTGAGTTTGGGATCCCTGAAAGGCCTAAAGGCCTCGGCTGCCTAATTGATGTTGACCAGCGCTTGAATAGTTGATTACCCTTTTACATTCTATCTTATTATCATAGTATCTATTGTATTTGATCTGCGTTTTGTTCTCTCTACAGTGTGACTCTGATGGACGAATCTCTTGACTATACGTGTTTCCTTTTTCTATCGTGTTGTACTGGATGAGAAAAGACTTTTTTTTTTTCTTTTTCCTTCTTCTTTGAAATGAAAGAATTTTACAAATAGACCTTCAATGAGGTTCCTGGAATGTTTCTCCTTGTCAACTAACGCATAGTTTGTCCATCAGTGGATCATACAGTTAACCATGTACTTATTATGTACATACTTCAATGGGGTATTATTATTTATTACATTCAAGTGTTAAAAGTATCCATCGGTCTGTCTCCACACCCCGCAGATCGCTGATGCCTCGGCTGTTGACACGACCCAACCTTGGGTGAGGATGCAACGGAAAGGGCCAGTGGATTTCAGGAAAGGTTCATTACGCATGGTGAGGGGAAAAGTCCCAATAATTGGGCTCGGTATTCTCAAAGAAACATGGTTGGGGATCGGCAATGGCTATGGTTCTTCAGTCCATGTCAAAACGTGGAGTAATACACGCGGAAGTGCCGGATGTGATAGCGAGGTAGTTCGTAGTACGTCAGGTTCATTGGAGAGTGAGTATATTGAAGGAATGAAGTGGGCAAAAGACTATAAATACAATACAACGAACAAAAATAAATCACCAGGGGAAGTCCGCCCTGTCAGGTCCCCGAATGGCGAAAGAAATACTCAAAGTAGAAAAAGGTCCAGTACTCAAGCTGTACCTGAGGGAAACTGGTGGGCCATTGCAACATTTAAATGAAACCAAATGTCAGCCAATTTAAATCTTTTTATTTTTTTTTTTTTTTAGCCTTTTCCTGAACCTCCGCCCGTCTCTTCCATACTACGCCGTACTTAACTTCTAGTAGCTGATAATAACTTATTACCTCCTCTCTCTCTCTCTCTCTCTCCCCGTCTCTGCCCTGTTGATCACTCCCCTGCCAGAGTTGTTCCATTTCTTCCCTTGACTCCATCCCTTGGTAGGATGCGATTTCCGCTTCCCAACATACTAACATCATGACTTCTCCCTCCAATGGCCCTTCTGTCAATCATGCGGATCAGCCGGATTCTCAACGATTGCTGCAGCACGATTCAACCCTGACGGTAGCACAATCGGTTTCTCTTACTATCGGGGGTGACTCCCTTCTCGTGGTCGGTACGTGGTTAGGAACCAATGGCTCGTAGAGTTCCTTGTTGATTAACTCTGGTGCTACAGACGAGCGCCCAAAGTCAAAAGATCAGCGCGCATGCTGTGGCTTGTTGGCCAAGTCATGTATGTCGCACTGAATACCTTCCTTCCGTTTTCTTTTCTTTTCTTTTCTTTTCTTTTCTCTTTGATTTTCTTTCTTGTCGCGTTTTGCTTCACAGGAAAACTTATCACACCCATCGACTCAAAACAAATGTTCAATATGACTGACTGTAACTATTCCAGCCAAAACTACCCATTCCATTGGGCTATATAATATTTTGGATGCCGATCTTTCCCCTGCGGGCCTAACCATCACCTATGCCCAAGCCGCTACCAAAGACAGCATCTCCGTGGCTGCCCTTGAGTACCCGATCACCGAGAAAGAAAAGACAAATGCGCAGACGTGGGTTTCGCAATTGTTAGACCTTGCATATGGCGAAGCACAACGATATAAAAGACTTAAAGTTCTGGTCAACCCATTTGGCGGTAAAGGTGCAGCCTCTAAGAGCTATCACAAACATGCAGCGCCGGTCTTCGCCGCTGCGCGCTGTGTTGTGGATGTGCAGGAAACAACACATCGAGGCCACGCCACCGAGATCGTGGAGCAAATCGATATTGACGCCTATGATGCTATTGTTTGCTGTTCCGGTGATGGTTTGCCGTACGAGGTCTTCAATGGTCTAGGAAAGAAACCGAATGCTGGAGAAGCACTAGCAAAAGTAGCCGTCGCCATGGTCCCCTGCGGCTCCGGCAATGCCATGGCATGGAACCTTTGTGGGACGGGCGATGTTTCAGTGGCAGCGCTTGCGATTGTCAAAGGCCTGAGAACGCCTATGGATCTGGTCTCGCTTACGCAAGGGAACACTCGGACTCTGTCGTTCTTGTCTCAATCCTTCGGTGTCATTGCGGAATCAGACCTGGGAACCGATAACATCCGATGGATGGGGGCTCACCGTTTCACGTACGGTTTCCTTGTACGTATTATGCAACGGACGGTGTACCCATGCGACCTCGCCATCAAGGTGGAGATTGATGATAAAAGAGCGATCAAAGACCATTACAATACATACGCAAACAACCCAGCTCCGCGCCATTCCCTCGAAGAGACTGCAGGACAGTCCAAGGGTCTTCCCGAGCTTAGATACGGCACGGTCCAAGATGATCTTCCCAAAGATTGGGAAGTTATTCCAGGAGAAGAAATGGGCAACTTTTACGCGGGCAAAATGGCTATTATGTCCAAGGACACAAATTTCTTCCCGGCCTCCGTGCCCAACGATGGGCTAATGGACATTGTCACCATTAACGGAACAATTCCCCGTACTACGACCCTCAAGATGATGACTGCCATCCCCGAGAATGAGTTCTTTGATATGCCCGATGTCAAGATCCGCAAAGCTGCCGCCTACCGCCTGGTCCCTCGTCAGAAGGAAGGTTATATCAGCGTTGACGGTGAAAGCATCCCGTTCGAAGCTCTCCAGGCTGAAGTCCATAAAGGTCTCGGCACAGTGCTTTCTAAATCGGGACATCTCTACGAGGCAGAGGGCCCGAGACCGTAATGTCATTGACACAAATCCCTGCTTCAAGTAAAGAAGAAACATGATGGAGAAGCAAGTTGTTAGTGATGTCTTTTGGTTGTATCCATATATTTACTATTACTGGTCTTCGCATTTTATGATACCCGCGCGCAAGACTTTCGAGGAAGCACAGGCATGCTTTTAATGCAATTGGTTTTAAGGCTCTGCTAGCTTGATATCGTGAGCCAGAACTGGCTAACAGCTATAGCTCGTGATGTATACAACTATACTATAGAGTTCATGGAAGGACAATTGTTGTTGTATATGTATTTCCGAACCAGCAATAAGAGCCTTTAGTGTGAGAAGAAAAAAATGATATGCGACCGCCATAATTGTATATAAAGAATTAACACCGTGAAACCCCCACAATAGACATCAAATTTTCTAGTAATACATCGAAATCAATCAAATCCGCCCCATTCCTCGTCACTATCCTCCTCATCATCCGACTCAACCTTCCGGGTCCGGAATCCCCACTCGACTAATCGCTCATCCTCCAACGTCTCCTTCGCCCGAGTCCTAACAGGCTTATACGGGCTGTCGGCTCGCAACTTCTCAATAGGTCTCAAGATCAGCTCAATGGGAACATCCCCCTTCGGTTTCCGCACCCCATCAGACCCCTCCTCAAACTCAAGAACCTTCTCCACCTCATCGATCCAGATATCCATAACATGGTACCTCAACCCATCAGGGCCATGAGGCATGGCGACATAATCCTTCTTCTCATCAGTAGGAGGCTGGTCGGGGTCAAAGTTAAGCGGGCAAAGCGGACCCTCTTCTAAGATTGAGATGTACGACTCCAGTTCTGCCCACTTAGTCTCGTCGTTCTGCTCCTCTTCCTCTTCCGCGACAGTCACGCTCTGCTTCTTCCCCTTCGACCGCTTCTTTGACTTTCCGTTCTGTTCAGCCTCCCTCTTCCGCTTCTTGTTGCTGTCCTTGTCCTGCGCGGCCTTTTGTTGCGCACCCTTCAGGAAAATCTCAAACGCAACCCCGACATAGAAACGAATCAGAAGCAGGTACTTGTCCAGTCGCAACCGATCCAGCGAATGGAAGTCTCGGCCAATGGTGATCCAGAATGCGCGCAGGAAGCGATGGACGGCAGAGCGGGGGATAGTCGGGACGAGCGAGTAGGAGAGGTTCCGCGCGAGGGCTTGTTGTGTGAGTGGGCGGTCGGAGTGGTAGAAGCCTAATTGAGTCGTTTGTTAGTTTTCTCGATATACAATTGGTGTATGTAGGCACGGGAGCAGCGCGGGACGTACAGAAAAACAGGCCCTTCCAGAGTTTGAGGAGCTCGATGAGAGAGAGGTCGGTTCTGGAGCGAAGGAAGAGAGTAAGGGAGTCGGTGGCTTTGTCCCGGATTTTCTTGTCTGCGATACAGGTTAGCTTTGGGCTTGGGGTCGCAAAAGTGGAAATATGCGATTGAGGTGGAGTTTGACTGATTTTGGAACATACCGCTAGATGCGAGCTCCCTGACGAAGGGGGTCTTTTGTAGATCTGTCATGGCTGTAGCTTTGTTGTTTGCTGTAAGTCTAACTGATATGCCAAAAACCATCATACAGACATAATCTTTTTTTTTTTTTGATGTTTGCTCTGTTTGCTCTTGTGATATTTGGGCGGAGTGAATATAAGGCTATGATTGGGCGAAGATGCAAGTGCGCCACTTATAGTCCGAGATCCAACTGGGTGGGGAACGTTGATAACTAACCTAACTTACATTTACAGTACGGACTCAGTATAATTTGAGGTATCTCCATTGGTACAGTACTAATACAATTCACGATAAATCGTGAGATCAATGAAGCTGAGCACGCAAGAACAATTAGGCTTTGAGGCTGAAGATATGGGATACTAATACTGGAAAGATAGGTAAAGAGTAACAATATAGGAAAAAAACTAAATTCCTAGAATAGGAAGTGGTGGCTTGATCATATTGTTATCGGGTCACGGGTAGTATCTATAAGACTACATGAATGAGAGTATAAAATCAGCTTTTAATATCCATACCCCCAATCACCCTACTATATATTTGTACGAGCATGCGGTTGTGAAACACAGACTCACAGCTGGAAGCCCAATCGCTTAGGCTTTTTAAGGTCCATAGGCTTCCTCAACTCTCGGCGCCGACAAATCTTCTTCTCTGTCGCATCCGGCAGGTCGCAGCATTCCCTTTCTGTATGACCCCTGGTGGCTCCATTGGTATTGACACAACGACCACTCAGGTTGAGAAGATACAATTCACTAGTGTGGAAATCCTGGGGTTCGCTCCACAGGCGGTTTTTCTGAGGCATTTGGATCTCGATATCAATGACATCACCACTTACTGCGGGACGAATTGAACGCCAGCCTGCGATCTAATTAGCAAACCATCATGCCATC